CCCCAAAACCCCAAAACCCCAAAACCCCAAAACCCCAAAACCCCAAAACCCCGTGCCAAGCTGACAGTGTTGAAGTATTACAATTAAAGTGTGAATAAAAGACTTCCAAAAATGGAACTACTTAGTGGACGAATCTTAGCAAACTTCATAACTGCTTATGATCCAAAAGAGGGGGTGGCTATTAAGGCCGAGTTTTACATTCAGACCATCATTAGCTCCTAAATCATGAATTTCCCCCACTATTTCGCTAAGTTTCAGACCAAACCCTTCGCACGAGTTCTCATGGGCAGAAATAAAATTTCAAATAAAGAAGGAAATAAGAAAATGAAGTTTAAATTTTTTGAAGTTTTAGGTATCAACTTAGGCATAATTAAGCAAGGGAGGCGACCAAGGATCCTGCAACAGCGAGGATGGTGGCAACTTGGTATCCGTTACCCTTCAAGGAGAGGTTCTTTCCGTTTCCGAGAGTGGTGGCTAAGTCGGATACTCCTGAAGCCAAAGAGGCGGAGGCAGCGTTGTCGAATCTAGCGAAGCATCTGACATACCAGGTCTCTGTCTGGTTTGGCATGTAGACGGAGCTTGAAAGTTGGGTTGGAGTCAATCCACTGAAGGTGTAGGAGACGGTCTTGGCAGTTGAGTTGTTGGAGTTGGTTCCAGCTGGAGATGTGACAGCGGTTAATGCAGATTGAGAGGAGGCAACGTGAGCAGTAGTCTGTCCCCAGCTAGCACCAGCGTAGAAATTGACTGAGTTGTAAACGGCGGCCAATGATGTACAAGTGGCGTGACATTGCCATTCAATTCCGAATCCCTTCAAGGTGGTGCTAGCAGTGGTGAGTTGATAGTTGCTGGTAGCTACATTGACACAAGCTCCTGTAGCATACTGACTAGCTGTCATTGGGGCAGTTGTGGATCCAACAGTAAGTCCCAATGCGACATCAGAGTTGCTGCTGTTGCTTGAGTTCTTGGAGAAGTTAATGGTGAATTTGTAACTTCCAGTCTCGGCAAGAGTGGTGCTGGCTGCAACAAGAGCAACAGTCATAACGAGGGCAATGATAACCTTCATGTTTAAATTAATATTTTATTATTAACTCTTAATTTTCTGAGTTTAAATCTACGTTTGGGGTTTTGGGGTTTTGGGGTTTTGGGGTTTTGGGGTTTTGGGGTTTTGGGGTTTTGGGG